ATGATTTTCATTATTAAACGTTCGTTATTAGTAAATATTAAGGATTTATTTTACTTTAGAAATGTATTTTTTAAATTAATTTTTTTCGGTTTTTTTAAACGACGAAATATTTTCTTCTGAGGTTTTGCGTTCATATTAATTGTTTAAAAAGATTATATTAATTTCTGTAACGTAAATAAATTTATATTTAACATATTATTTAAAATATGTACATCGTGACAAAAAATATTTGTCTCGTCGATGGCCATGATTTCAGTTGTACCTGAAGCTGAAAAACAAAAAGGATTCTTAATCTAGATTAGTGTATCGCCGGAATTAGAATTTATAAAATAACGACACTTTAAAGATATTTTTTTGAATAAATTAATTAGAAAATCTTCATAGCCATTTATTGCCATTTTATTGATTTTTCTTCTTTATTTGTTCTAGTTCCGGCGATAACTACAATCTTCTAGATAAAGAATCTTTTTTGTTTTTAGACTTCAAATACATACAACTGGAATCACCGACAAAACAAAATTTTTTTCTCACATGTACATTATTTTAAATTACGTGTTAAATATTAATTTATTTGAGTTGCAAAAATTCATGTAGTCTCTTGAAACATTAGTGAATTTGTACACAAATTCTCAGAAGAAAATATTTAATAGTCATTTAGAAAAAAAAAAAAACGGATAAATCACCTTAAAAATGCACTTCTAAAGTATAATACCTCCTTAATTTTGATATTATATCTTTAGTAACAATAAAGATATAGAAAAGGTTTTAATAGTAAAAATATTAATTTTTTTATAAACCTCAATACATATTTGTATTATTTTATAAATTCTTTTTACTTTACCTTCTGATATTCTATCTAAAGTGCTCTCATGATAGAGTGCGTAATAATATTTATCTTTTATGTTTTCTCCAATGATCTTTTGTAATTTTTGTGAAAATTGTGGCCATTCAGTATAAATGTTAGTTTTTTCCCCAAAATAAAATATATAATCATTGTCAATCTGTAGATGATATTACAAGATAAAATTAATATATAGAGTGTCTTTATTAAGTTGGACATAATTTATAAACTTGTTATAAATAGATCATTCTGAATAAAAGTCCTTTATCATTTATTTTGACAATTAATAACTTTAAATTTTGCAAGTAATGACGCAATGTTCTTTATATAATTGTATAACAATTATATAAAAAACATTAGTCTAAAAACATTGTCTACTACTAGTAAATGCTCCTACACAAATGTATTTATTTTTATATAAAGATAGTTACCAGAGTATATCCTAATGGTTGTTTTAAAACAGGTCATTCTTCAAATAACGTATGTAAATTACCATGTAGCTTTGCAATGTGTTTTTGTCTAAGAACTCGCGAATTATTCCAGTGATTTTGTACTAAAAACCATGGTGCTGTATTATATTTTAACCAAATGGATCATACACTTTTCGTTCTCTGTAAAATTTTTTACAAACTTGTTAATAGCATTTGTATTATAAACTCTATAGAAAACTAGAAATTTTCTAGTTTTCTACTAGAAACACATACATACACACATATAAAATACGGAAAAATACATATAGAACGAATCAATAGAAATGTACCATTTAAAATGATTAATTAAATATTTACTTTATTAGAAAAAAATAAGATGATAAACCTATTCTCTTATAACTTCTTCTAAATAATATAATTTTTATCTAAAAAAGTCTTCTTTATAATTAATATTTATTTTAGGTGATAATCTAGGGATACACTCTATATTATCTACGTTTTGTGTAGATAGTTCGTTTCTTGGCTGTTTAACTTAAGATGAAGATATAGACATTTTACGTTGTAATGCGGAATTAAAATAAAAATGCAATTAGTGTTTAATTAGTCTAATAGTATAAAATATATATACATAACTTTTAGCCTGATAAACATTAGTTATATCTTTATTTTAATTCCGCCTTACTATAGGAAAATGTAAACATGAAAATGCGTGCAGGCCATCTTCACGCTGCTCGATCATTTATAATTGCCGTCGATAACTCTTATTACCGGGTAAAAACTTATAACACTTACTCGTACTCACATTATATACCTATATATTCTCTGCCGTGTGCGCGTGTATGATATAAAAAAATATATGTATATACCTTAGGAACTAGACTCATCTTCCTCTATTTCTTCATTGTCTTGAGATTTCTTTCTTTTCCGGTTTATTATTCCACATTTTCGACATTCTCTCAATTTATTTCTGTAAGAATCTACTAATTTCCCTTTAGAAATTCTTTGTTGAGGCCCTTCAGTTTTAGGTGGAACATAATAGATACTGATATTTTCAGTAGAAAATATTTTAACAATTTGAGTTGCAACAAACTCTAAATGTTCGTTTTTAAGCAATACCCTAAATAATTTATAAATGTATAATTATCAAATTAATTAAATAACAATAATTCGAAAGTATTTTTTTACTCTTGTTGTTTATTATAAAACAGAGACATTAAAGTTGTAACAATCACGTCAACAAGCTTGGAACGTAATTGTTTGTTAAGTTTTACTTCTTTTTTGTAATGAGCAATAATAATTCTTCCATCTATAGATTGTCCTAGGATTTTGTTATTATCCTAAAAAATTACTTAAATTGTATTCCTATTAAATTATTTATTAATTTATAAAAATAAAAAGATACTTTGTACAAATATGTTACAATATTTTGTTATATAATAAAAAATGCAAGTATTTTCAGAAAAAACTATATACTTATAAATTATGCAACATTTTACTTAACTAAAAAAAAAATAAGTCAAAATTTCAAAAAATCTTACCAAGGAATACACATTTTTAACGTCAGGATTCCTTGATTCATGAGATATAGAATCTTCTATTACTCCTATTTGTCTCGATATTTCTGAAGATTCGAGTTCTTTTTCTGGTACGTCTTCTGTGCATATGTCTATAGATGTACCTTCCGTTAGGGTAAATTTAGTTTCAGTAAAATGTATATTCGTAGTATTTTCAAAGCTAGAAATATTCTACATAATATTTTAAATTTTATTATAATTTCAGTTTAAATTAAAAAAAGAAATATATATATATATATATATATATATCGTTTACCAAATTAAAAAACTTCTTAACTCCAATTTTTGACAAAATTGAGATGCTTATTTCTTGACAAGACAAAGTGGATAATATAAGTACTTCAATTTTATCACAAACTAAAGTTAGCAGATTTTCCAATTTGACCGACAATATGTAATCAATAATATAAAAACATTTACCTTTTGTTCCTTATTCACCTTTGCTGATTGTTTTAAAAACTGTTTCCTTTTTTCTATAAAAATACATCTTGCACCAACAGTAGATATCAATTCCGTTAATGTTTGTTCCGAAATACTTAATAATAACGAAGGGCTTATTTCTTGTTCTATAAAATTAAAATAAATTAACTTATTTTTACCACATCCTACTCTTACAACATTCAATATGTTTATCAATTTTAACTTTACATTAAATATATAATATTTCTTATTTTTCGAATACGAGAAAAGAATTTAGAAGTTTATAAAAACATATCTAAAAATTTAGGTATCCACTTCTCAAGACCCCATTCTTTTAATGATTCAACAACAAAGTTGTCACTCATTTCTTTAATATTATATTGCATACACTAAAATAAAATCAGAATTATATAGTTGGCCCCGTGAATGCCGTACCATTTCTTAGACTGAGTTATACAATTTTCTTTATACACATATACACATAAGGTCGATAATCGTGTAAGTAATTGTATAAGTAATTCTAATTGTAATGATATATTATTCGCTATATCGGTTATACAAATAAGGATATACAGACTTAGTAAGCGAATCAGACAACGAACAAATAGCGAATCTAATCTAACGAATAGTGATTTTACGAAGATTCAAAGAACAACGGACTATGAAAAGCAAATATAATACATGTACGCTGTTTATTCGTTTAGTGTGTCTTATCTTTACGAAATAACTATTCATTTACCGTTCGTCCGCTTAGTCTGTATACATTCTAATATAGAGAAATGCACACAACACTCAGTTCAGCTTTCGGGTTTGTACTGCAGAAGAATAACCTGAAACAGTTTCAGGTTGTTTCTTTTTCTGATAAAATAAATTGAAATGTTTATGAAATATCCGAAACGAAATGCACGAAGGAAGACACGAAAACGAAACCAAATTTTTCTTTAAGTAATGATAACCTAAAATATCAAATGTATTCAATTATCTGTAAAATTCTTACTTACGAAGATGTTTTCACGAAACGATCCAGCTGAACGTATTCACATAATATATCGTCATCATTACACGAATGTCGTGTACGAAAGATCTGCGCAACTGAGGTCCTTGGGGTCGAGACCTATGAGTAGTGGCTTTTGCACATAGGACGCGGGAACGCTTGCCGCGTTCTTCGTGTAGGAGCCATAGAACGCAGGCGCACAGATTTCAAACCCGCAGCAAGTACGCCATCTATTCGTGAATGGCGGTAAACCATATGGCACTTGTAGATAGAATATACCAAATTGTTCGGTTAGGAGAACAAAACAGTTATGTTAAAATTACTATAATTTTTTTCAGCATATAAAATTTAAGTTTTAGTGTACGGAAAGACAAAATAGTATCTATTGGACATTATTTTAATTTATGTAAAATAATATTTTATCATTATGCAATTTCTATAGGTAAATTAACTGAAATCTTTAATTTCTTTATATGAAGTCTGAGAACAAAATCATTTGGTCCAGACAACAAAGCAGAAATATATATTTGGCGGGAGCAACTAAATATTTTGTTATGGAAAACAGGATATTTGGTTGCTATTAAAAAACACCTCAACTAAACAGTTTTGTTAGAGATACTAAATTTTTTTTCCTAGTGTGGCGTCCGAATGCGTGATACTCCTTGATGTTCTTTGAGTTATATTTTAATTTGCTTACTGATTATTTTTCAGTGGTAAAACTCGTTTTACTGTGTTACACGATGGAGCAACAATCGGAATCTAATCAGCCGAAAAATTGGTACCCGCGCACTATTTTCAATCGTAATTATCACAACTATGCAGTAGTTGTGATGGCTCGACCTATATTTTGGGAACCACAGAAAATATTTCAAATATGGAACAAAGGTAAATAGACTACAATTGTATTACTTGTGCTCACATTTTTCATACATATATATATATATTTTTTCACTCTTCGCGGTGTTAGATATTTTGATAACTAAAGTAATGATTGTTTTTTTTATAATTCGTTCCCCAGGAACACAAAGCCATATAAAAATTAAAATGATGTCAAGTGATATAAAAGTCATTTTGACATCAAACGATAGCATTTTCATGACAACTTCATGATATTGATGTCAAAATAATATAATCTTGACATCAAAATGATTTTATGTTCTACCTGAGTCCATGCCGGATTAATTTCATATGACTTGTCTATAATACGTGAACCACCGGTAGTTTACGTAGCACAGATCGTGTTAGGTGGAGTTTATGAAATTTTCTTGAAATCTTACATTTTTCGTATTAATATATCTAGTTTATTTAAAAAAATACTTTATTTTTAATTACATATAATTAGAAATCTACATTTCCGTCTACGTTAATATTAAGAAAAAATTGATAGAAAGAATAATATAATTATAATTTTTTACCTAATTAGCTATACTCACCGTTACTGTGAATGGTGGGATATATAGCTGGATAGAGTACTTGGAAAATGCAGGGATAGACGTATTCAGCGACCAGTATAATGAATACGTGCCCAAAATTATTATCGCGAAAAGGATGGATAGATGTACACGTGCTTCACCGACTATAATCGACAAGCTGGAAAGTCTAGGCTCCAGGGTCATCTATCTACTTCGTCAGAATTGCAAGGAATTTACCAGAGCATTGAATTGCATCGTAGACTCTGCCCATGACTCGAATATGACCGTAATTTAATTTTACTAATTTTCTATATCTTTTCTATAAATATTATGATTATAAATATAGATATTGCTGTGTTTTTGTATATTACAAACTTGAAATATGGTGTACTATAAAATGAACAATTCTGTTAACAGTTAAGAAACATGTACGTATTTGCGGAATCGGAAACAGATTTTGATGCCGTCCAAATCAAAGAGACGTTACGTGTAAGCGACGGAAATATACGCAATGTAGAGGTAATCATACATTTCTATATTGATCTAAATTTAATATTTAACAAAATTAATTAAAATTAGATATTGAATTTTCTGTTTAATAAATACATTTAATAGATATTACCATACATACATTTAATAGATACATTTAATAGATTCAACTATGTTGAATGATCATGAGAATCTTCTTTTTTTTACAGATTGTAATAGTTTCAAACTATTATTTCTGCTGGATGTTACGGCGAGTGGCATTCAGTTGGACACAGTACAATTGGACACGTTGCAAATGGACACGGTGCAAATGGACACGGCACTTGACACACGATTCAATTGGACACGGTGCGTTTGGACACGAAACTTTTGGGCACCGTTGTTTTTGGACACGAAAGAAAATGCACGACGTTCAGTTACACACCGTTCATTTGGACACCGTTCAGTTGGACACAGTTCAAGTGCCCACTGTTCACTTGGACACAGAAGGATGCTCACTGTTCACTTGGATATCGTTCACTTGGACACCGTTCATTTGGATACCGTTCACTTGGACACCGTTCACTTGGACACCGTTCAGTTGCCCACTTTTCACTTGGACACAGAACGATGCGTGCTGTTCATTTGTACACCGTTCACTTGGACACCGTGGAATTGCTTGTCTGTTCACTTGGACACAGAAAAATGCGCATTGTTTACTTGGACACTGTTCATTTGGACACTGTTCACTTGGACACGGTTCATTTGGACACAGTTCACTTGGACACCGTTCAATTGGACACCGTTCATTTGGACACCGTTCAATCGCCCACTGTTCACTTGGACACAGAAGGATGCGCACCGTTTATTTTATCATCATTTAATTATGTATCGTTTGTTTATGCAATGGATATGCAACTGAT